GAGTGAAACAGAGAGACTTAAACTCCTTTTGCAACCAACAGATTATGCGGAAAGCAATTCAGAGTGTTTTGAAGTGGAAACGGGGGCTTCCCTTTCGTTTAAATGTAGTTCACTCTTCCTCCCTCTTCAGGTATTCTCTGACAGAAGAGGGTCTGGCTTTAGGGGAGCGCCTCGAGTCTTTAGAGGGAACTAAAGGTCCAGAAGGAGACAGAGAGGAGGCCAGGAGTGAAGGAAACGAGCAGGAGGAGGGAGAGGAGGGTGGCCCGGGGTTTGTGGACCTCACTGTTAGTGATGATGACGAAGAGGAGAAGGAAGAGGAGAGAATGCAGTGAGTGTGCTTCAAAACTTCTGGGAAAAAAACGTATCATTATCTCAACATGTAACTATACTCTGAAATGCATTTAAGTCGCACCATTATTTCCACTTTGTCAAAGGTTTGTGTTTCTCATATCAATATATTTTGACCTATGTTTGGACTGATACATTTTGTGTTTAGAGACCATTTAAACATTCAAGATTCAAAATAACGTGGTCTTGGTTTTGACAATCTTAAGTCCCAGCCTCCTCCATCAACTTACGACATAAAAAGGAATAAATATAGTCCAAAAAGAAACAGAAACGTGCAAGTAAAATGCAAAAATAGGTCAAATATATACATGTAAAAAGTAAATACAGAAAAATACGGTGCATTCTACTTTTATATATGACAATATGTAGACTTTTCTTGGTGTGTTTTAGCTTGTAATGTTTCTGTAAAATACATGAACTCTCAACAATTGTAGATTTATTAGTAATATATATTTTAGATCGAAATATCTCCATTATGTCTTATGATTGCACTTGTATTGTTGAACTGTTTGTAAATACAATAAAAGGAATTGAACCGCCTTTTTCCAGACCTACAGAGAGGCCGACCTCCTCTGCCCAGCCGAGGGTTGTCGTTCCTGGGATGTTCTTTTTAGGAAAACCCCAAAATGTACCGTCAACGAGCAGAAACCCAAATTCATGGAGTCTCCTTCCCGGCTCCTACGAGATCATCCTCTGTGTGGACTTCATTGAGACAACCGGGTAAGACAGCTGTGTGTTTTAAACTGTGTGAATCAAACGTATAAATGTGTGTGTGTGTGTGTGTGTTTCCTGAACTGTTGGTGTGTTTTGTGAAGCGGAAGCAAAAACTGCAAGCAGGATCTGGTCAAAGAGCTGCAGAGGAACGGAGTGACGTTCGATGTGAGGAAGCTCAACGTGGGAGATTTCCTGTGGGTCGCTCGGGAAAAGGTCGCACCTATTCCAGGTAACACAACGTAAAAACAAATCCACTTTTTCCTGTCTTTTCTACATCAACATGTGTCCCCTCTTCTTCATGTCTTTTCTACATCAACATGTGTCCCCTCTTCTTCATGTCTCTTCTACATCAACATGTGTCCCCTCTTCTTCATGTCTCTTCTACATCAACATGTGTCCCCTCTTCTTCATGTCTCTTCTACATCAACATGTGTCCCCTCTTCATGTCTCTTCTACATCAACATGTGTCCCCTCTTCTCCATGTCTCTTCTACATCAACATGTGTCCCCTCTTCTTCATGTCTCTTCTACATCAACATGTGTCCCCTCTTCTCCATGTCTCTTCTACATCAACATGTGTCCCCTCTTCTTCATGTCTCTTCTACATCAACATGTGTCCCCTCTTCATGTCTCTTCTACATCAACATGTGTCCCCTCTTCATGTCTCTTCTACATCAACATGTGTCCCCTCTTCTCCATGTCTCTTCTACATCAACATGTGTCCCCTCTTCTCCATGTCTCTTCTACATCAACATGTGTCCCCTCTTCTTCATGTCTCTTCTACATCAACATGTGTCCCCTCTTCTTCATGTCTCTTCTACATCAACATGTGTCCCCTCTTCTTCATGTCTCTTCTACATCAACATGTGTCTCCTCTTCTTCATGTCTCTTCTACATCAACATGTGTCCCCTCTTCTTCATGTCTCTTCTACATCAACATGTGTCCCCTCTTCTTCATGTCTCTTCTACATCAACATGTGTCCCCTCTTCTTCATGTTTCTTCTACATCAACATGTGTCCCCTCTTCTTCATGTCTCTTCTACATCAACATGTGTCCCCTCTTCTTCATGTCTCTTCTACATCAACATGTGTCCCCTCTTCATGTCTCTTCTACATCAACATGTGTCCCCTCTTCTTCATGTCTCTTCTACATCAACATGTGTCCCCTCTTCTTCATGTCTCTTCTACATCAACATGTGTCCCCTCTTCTTCACATCTCTTCTACATCAACATGTGTCCCCTCTTCTCCATGTCTCTTCTACATCAACATGTGTCCCCTCTTCTCCATGTCTCTTCTACATCAACATGTGTCCCCTCTTCTTCACATCTCTTCTACATCAACATGTGTCCCCTCTTCCCCATGTCTCTTCTACATCAACATGTGTCCCCTCTTCTTCATGTTTCTTCTTCATCAACATGTGTCCCCTCTTCTTCATGTCTCTTCTACATCAACATGTGTCCCCTCTGTGGAAAGAGACTCTGAAAGTTTCAGGAACAAAGATTCTCTCTCTTTTTGTCCTGATCCATTTATATAAAAACCTGTCTGAAAATGAGCTGATCAGATTTTGGCCACTTAATGATGTCATAACCAGGGGTGCACATAACTGGTACGCAGGTACGCATGCGCGGCAACAATCTGAAATGCGTACCGTCACTTGTGTCACAAAGCGCATTTGCGTACCGACGTAAATGTGAAGCTTTTCCAGAAGGCGGTTAGTTCACCGGACGACAGAGTCGGTCTCCGTGTGCACAGACAGGGCTGCTGTTAACGTCGGTCTGTACAGCAGCCCTGCGCTAAAACAGCTGATCACAACGTTCACACGCGCCGCGGTCACGAAGCTCTGTACTCTACTGACGCCACCCCCCCGTTGACAATCGCGAAGCGGTGTACTCCACTGACGCCACATTGTTGTCACTATTTTCTAGTTCTACTATGCCAGCCATCAGAGGTATACATTTTGTAACATCTCTTTTAGGTTTCATTTCTTATTTTTGTGAATTTCTATATAAAATGCTGATTTCTACCTGAAATGCTTATGTATTTTTAATTACATTTTCGTAGAGCTTTGACTTTTTCAGCTGAATAAATATTATAACTCTAGATGGTTTTGTTCAGCATTGCCAGCTTCACTGTTGAGCTTTATGTTGTGCCCAGCATTCTCCTGTGCTCTGAAATCAAAATGTGGATAAGCATAAAACAACACTAAAATAAACACTACAATACAACTTGTTATTTGACACACACAAGGTTGTTCATTTGTGTGTATAAATATACAACACAGGCTATATACATATACAAGTATAATTAATACAACTGTTAATTTGATTAGAGCTTTGACACATATATCTTTATTTATGTATAAGTATGACGACTTCCTCGGGCGATATCATATGGTATAGCTAATTAATCTGGGTCAAAACGTGTTGTGCCCACATGCAAAGGTTGTAAACTCTGGTTTATCCCTGTGTGGTGTTATAGTAATAGCAAACAGCAACGTTCAACTCCTTACTGGTATATTGCAAGTGCAATAAGAAGCTAGGGACGTTAATCTACGTCGGTAATATTAACTTTATTTAATACAAGATTTACATCATACAGCCCATGCAGTATAATATTTTACAAATGATGAATTACAGCAAACATGTGCAATATATCCATTATTACAGCTCTGTGGGCTGGCAGTAAGGCGATATGGGTCCGTTCTTATTGTGCATCCATGGGTAAAGATAAACGCATGTAGTACTGAACACGTCACATCACATGAACGTGCCGGGCGGCGCGGTCCCGTGGGTTAGATGCGCGTTCATAATGCAGAGGGAAATAACTCTCAGAATAACGTTATTAGCACATTTTTACAACTTGAGGAACGAATGTTTTTAATAAGGGCTATACAAGTGTTCATACTGGGTAGTTTATTTAGTTTAAAAAAAATTATCCAACGATTTACAGACCACTCTTTCCCCATGTAAGTCAATGGGAAAAAGTGTTTCCGGGCCTGGCAACCAAACGGAAGTGTAGTACCGCCGTTTGGCCACCACGAATATTTTCATCTGAGTCCGGCGCACTTCCTGGGGGCTTGGTTACACTACACTGGCATAATACCCCACAATGCAATGTGGTAGTGATGACAACTGTCATGACTTTTTCTGTTCGGTACTGCTTTGGTGTTTTCTTTTGATACTATGTTGACAGTTTGAAATAAAGATTTAAATGTTTTAAATTCAAATAACATTATTGAATATAACGTTATTACACGGCCTAAAAAACATTAGAATTCCTCCATCAGAAAACACCATGGAATATATATATTTTTGAACAGCACAGAACTGTAGAAAAAAAAAAAAGAGAACAAGAAAACAGCACAAGAGAAGGAAGAGGTTAAAAGGGAGAGAACTGGAGGACAGAGAAATCAACAAAAGAAGACAGAAAAGAAGGAAACACTTAAAGGAACAGAAGACGAAAACAGACAGGAAGTAAACACTAAAAGGAACGGCAGAAGACAGACAGGAAGTAAACGCTAAAGGGAACAGCAGAAGAAGACAGACAGACAGACAGGAAATAAACACCAAAGGGAACAGCAGAAGACAGACAGACAAGGGTTGCGGTCATATTATCAGTTTAGCTTAGGAAGGTTCCTAACGGAGTGAAATTACCTCAGTGGCAGCCATGATAAGAGCTGTTAGAATTCTCTAGATGATAGGAAAGGAGCTTCAATACTTCCTTTATAACCTTTATAATTGGGATAATATGCAGCAAGCCAGTCATTATAGCCCGAGGAACCAATCACCATCGCTGCCTACTATCCCTTACTTAATGTACTCTAGTTACTCTGTAGTTTGATCTCTTCATGCATTTTCCACTTTAGACTGTTCTATTCTAATATGCATATGTTTGTTCATTCTAATGAGTTCTAATCCTATCATCCAAAGCAGACTCACTTCAGGTGGATCTCAGTGTACATGTTGAGGAAGTATCCCCCCAACAGATAGCCCGCTGCTGGGCCCACAATGGCTGCTGTGTAGAAGATCCCTAGAGAGAAAGAGAGAGAGAGTCAGAATACTGACTGTCTACTTCCTGTTTCCTACAGGTCAAAAGAGCCCCTTGTTCTTTGCTGTGCTCTGAGTTTGTTCTCAAAGTGAGTGTTTTATGAGAAAGAAGGAACTTGATGTGAGCATGTGATTAGGTGAGAGGATTTCCTCGATGGGTTACAATGTGCTCTGATTCTGTTTGAAATGCACAAAGTGATATTTTGGAAGAGTGGATGTTGAATGGTGAATATTACAAAACTCAAGAGCCTGAAACACTCAAAATGACAGTGCCAACACTAAAACTCTGTAAAAGGTAACACAACAATGAGCATCATAGACGATGACTGGGATGTGACATTTGCAGCAGATTTACTGACTCTATCTCTGTGTTTAGCAAAAAGGCACTTCACATCTACAATACAATCTTTATCTGTTTTCAATTCTCAGTAATAGAGCTAATAAAAGTGCTGCGATTGACTTCTGGATCGGTACTGTGCCGTTAGAGAGAAACAAGTGTTACTATAGAAGGAAAGTGTTGAACATATTCAGCTAATTTACAACATAAAATGCTTTGATTCAAATTGGACGCCATGAAAACAGGAGGAAAAAAGTGTGATGAAACCCGTTTCGATGTGTTGGAATTTCTATAATCATGCTCAAACTTAGATACCATTCATGCCACAACTATGGAAGCAAACAAGAGACAGAAGTATTTGAATTTGATCAGACACCGAATTTATAGCATTGAAAATAATTACTTTGAGAATCATGTATCTGAATTTTTTTGCTCTAAATTTACCTATGTGAAATAAAAATGTAACAATTCAAGTTAAAAAAATTTGAATAGTCAAATTCAGATCCCAAAAATTCAAGTGAAAAAAATTCGAATGCACGATTTCGGTGTATAAAATTCGACGTCAAAAATGTCCATGCAGCATCATCCGGGCTACTCAGACAGGATAAGCAATCGAGCCCGAATGCAATCAAACCGACTTCTGGCCTATCAGAGCCAAGCGGCGAACTCCGGGACAGTGCGGTGAAGCCCAATGCTGCAAACTGTAGGCGATGGATGCAGATGGGAGCAATTCCCGTAGACCCTACAGATGTAGCACTCCAGATAGGACTCCAGCTTACAGCTGCCTAAGACCAGCGTCTGGGAATGTTAAGCCCTCCCACTATTTTCCAAGAGGGCGTTGCCAGATTTTCAATTTCAGGATTTAACCAGGAGATGGCGCTTCATTCACAAATACAGAAAGACAACTTTTCATGGACTTTCAGTTGTGTTTTGAAGAGCATTTGAACACATCAATATTTTAGATCAAATAAAGTAGATCTAATCTTGTAATTCAATAATATATAGTCTTTATATATTAAATAATCATAATAATAATGTAAATGTGTACATTACACTTCTTTATTTGTTATGCTCATACTTTTACCTTTACAATCATTTTCTTTAATATGCAGTATATTTTTGTGTTTGCTTCCTCCTGCTCCCTTTCGGACACATACTGTATGATTTATTATTATTATTATTAATATGAAGATATTATTAAGATAAGATAAGATGTTACTTTATTGATTGAACATTTTAGTTTAGAATGTGCTATCCCACGGTAATTCAGAAGGCTCACAGGTCACATTCCGACCATTATTTAAAACAATAGGCGCTTTCACACAGTCTACAGCTTGATTTGCATACAGTAGAGGGAGCTGTGGCTGAATGGCCGGCGATTAGGTGTTGCGCATTTATCATGAGGTGATCAGAGCTGCCTGCCTGCCGTCAGATTTAATTTAAAAAACAGGTCTGATTTTAAGACTTTCTGCGCTCATAAAGAATGATAAGAATAAGAATAATGCGTATTGAACTGGTTTAATTAATTTGTGAGTTTATTTAAGGTAATTAGGTAGAAGCCCTTTTTTATCAGTAACAAATTTAGCAGTTGTACATAAAAGTCAACTAACTGAGTGTCACTTGCAATGACAGTGTTGTTATTTTATGAACCTTTTACATTAAAAATGGTTGTTGAATATATAAATATCATTATGAATATGGATAAATACTAGGCTATTTCTTATAAACGTTAGTCCTTAACATCTATCACTGTGTATATCACCATTCTTTAATTACATGTTTGATAAGTTTCTATGAAATAATAAATGAATACAATTAAAATGTAATTATCATATAATATATTATAATGTATTGTATTATTAAGTAATATCCAACCCGGTATCACGGCAAGACGTGAACATGTGACGATCTACCATGCTGGGAGACGTGAATATGTCACGGTTTCGTCCCTTCAAACGTGACAGTTACACGGTATTGTTAACATGGCCCAACCAGTGGAGAAATACCCGGAAGTGCCAAGCAAATCGTCTACCGCGCCTATTGGTCGGTTTTTATTGTCAAAATGAGATGTTTTTAATTTATTTTTTAATCTTCACACTTGATTTCGCCGATTTTCTTGTTGCCCTAGCTGGTCGACACCTCTTTTAGCAGAAACAAAGGCTACATTAATGTATTAAATCGATGTTAATCCATGTTTGTGGATCATAGACTGGTGTGGATGTGGAATTAACGGACGTGACGTTGTGCGATTGCGTTGCCAGGCAACGCAATTTACAAACTCTTCAACTACAACCCTAATTATATTTAAAAACATTTTAGAAGGCCTCACGAAATACTTTAATGTAAATTAAAATGTAAATGTGAAGGGGTGTGTGTAATGCTTTATATATACAGTCTATGGTGTAATGTGGTGATTGACATTATTCACCCACGGATCTATGGGTTGGGGGTATTGTTCCACACGGACATTTTAGTTAACCGGACTCCTGTTGATGTGAAATCCGAAAACATTTTTTAAAAATAAAATAATACTTTATTCCGAGTTTGCTTGCATAGGGGGGTGGGGGCTGGTGAACGGTATGGTCAATGTTTGTAAACACTGTGACATTTTGACTTTATTTGATAATTTCAGTTAAAAACTAACGTTCATATTTCTCTTTTTGAGAAGAGAAATATGAATATGTTAGTGGCTGACCCAGCCCCATGGTCTGTCACAGTAGTGCGGGAAAGAGAAGTGCACTGTTTTGCCTGGCTGGACCATGGATGTATAATAAGAACTGGATACAGCGTGGGAGGCGGGGCCTCATTCATTCCTATGAGAGTTGCTCATTCGCGCATGATGATAAAATGGCCCAACTTTTGAGAGAGCGAAACGTCACAGATTACCCGGCATGCCTGAGAAGTACCCGTATGTGCGCTCATAGCGCATGCGCAACTTTAACCATGCCCCCCAAAATGCTCGTTCACATCAAGCACGTCAATTTGCGTACACGTAACAGCACCGCACGTTCATGACAGCATGGTAATGTTTGTTATGATAGATTTGATATTAACGAGGCGGCAGTTAGCAGCTAGCGGTTAGCTAGTAATTATGCTAATTTACACATCAATCGTTATGTACTTTTATATTACGCTGTAACAGGATCTAGTGATATCCAAGCAACAGAGCTTCATTTAGCATGAAAGAATTATTGCACTGTATATATATATATATATATATATATATATATACACACAGTGCAATAAGCTTCTTAGTGCAATAAGAAGCTACAGGGACGTTAATCTACGTCGGTAATATTAACTTTATTTAATACAACATTTACGGTACAAGATTTAATCATACAGCCCATGTAGTATAATATGTTATAAATGATGAATTACAGCAAACATGTGCAATATATCCATTATTACAGCTCCGTGGGCTGGCAGTAAGGCGATATGGGTCCGTTCTTATTGTGCATCCATGGGTAAAGATAAACGCATGTAGTGCTGAACACGTAACATGAACGTGCCGGGCGGCGCGGTCCCGTGGGTTAGATGCGCGTTCATAATGCAGAGGGAAATAACTCTCAGAATAACGTTATTAGCACATTTTACAACTTGAGGAACGAATGTTTTTAATAAGGGCTATACAAGTGTTCATACTGGGTAGTTTATTTAGTTTAAAAAAAATTATCCAACGATTTACAGACCACTCTTTCCCCATGTAAGTCAATGGGAAAAAGTGTTTCCGGGCCTGGCAACCAAAAGGAAGTGTAGTACCGCCGTTTGGCCAGCACGAATATTTTCATCAGAGTCCGGCGCACTTCCTGGGGGCTTGGGCTGGACCTGTAATTTACAGGAAAGGAGTGCGCGCTACTAAAGAGACGCGCTACCATGGAAACCAAACAATGGTGTAGCTCAGTGACGTGCGGTGAGGTTCATGGCTGGTGAGGCAGAGGCACTGACTCTTTCAGAGTCAGATTTACAAATATTATATTTTGACCTTAATCGAAATATTCTGTTATTTTCAAAAGCTTTTTTAGTCTGATGCTTCGATTCATTTTAAACAGACCGTTCAACAAAAGGATACCCAAAATCTAAATATTGGATTGTTCTTTCTTAGTAAGATCCCATTTTCATTACAATTGTGGTCTTACCTTGACTTGAAGATGAAGTCCATGCTATCTGGACAACAATCTCTATTACTTTTTTGTAAAAGTCCTCCTTATCTTCCTGTAGGTTCAAAAGTCTAGTTTGTTGTTTGCGTCTACCGTCTCTGCGTAGAATTACAGTAGCAACAAGAACCTGTGGGCTCACGTGCGCCCCCTTCAGTGCGGCAGAGGTTATGGCTGCCTCCCCTGGTGCTTTTTTCATTGCCGTTGTATGATGAGACCAGGCTAAATATCATATCTATGTGAAATAAGTTATTTAGAGACTATGGATGGCGAGGATAAATGTAATAAAGGGATCTACAAACATTACATTGGTGACCTACAGTGAGATGGTAACAGGCATGCGCTTAGTGCCCGCTTTCCAGCCAGTTTCTGTGGGGTGACGCATTCTGAGGTGAGGCAGAGCTCATCTGTGCCTCACCTCACCCCACAGTAACTGGCTTGAGCGCGCTCACAAAATAAGTGCCCGCGCTAAATTAGTGCCCGTGCTCC